AGAGAGAGAGAGAGAGAGAGAGAGAGAGAGAGAGAGAGAGAGAGAGAATCTCCCCGGGCAAGGGGCTGCCGGGATTCGAGAGCTGGAGCGGTTGATCTTTTCCGAGAATCCTGCACTTGTGGTGACGTCGGGCAGTGCGCACGAGCCCTGAGGTTAATGCCCAGGCTTTTCTCTAAAGCGTCCGGGAATGATCCGGCGAATCAAACGGGTGTCTGCAAAGTTAATGAATTGTACAAGGAGACTGAGGGTGGGGACTTTGACCCGGGGAGCCAGAGGCGGTTCTGGTGGACGCTTCCCCGTGCGCCTAGGGGTGCGCTGGACTTTCCCAGCCGAGGCCTACAGAGCGCACCGCGTGAACTTCATGGATCTCTTCCTTCTCCCAAGGAGGAGGAGGTGGAGATGCTGGGAGAATTGTGGGGAGTTGGGAGAGGGTTGGAGGGGGACTGTCTAGATTCTACTCTGGAGGACCCAATCACGTCGTGCTATTCCCCTGCCTAAAACTTTAAGGTTTTCCAACGGTTTGAATAAAACCCAGACGATGCCCGATGTCCAACGAACAAATGATCTAGCCTTGGCCTACTTTTCAGGACTTAGCTTTGTCCCTGCCCGCGACTTCCCATTGGGAACGTCCTCCCCGTCACCACTGGCTCTGCTTAGGTTCGAACTCCAGGCCACTTTCCCCACTCTCTCTGGTTTCCAGCAGGAGAAGCGCCTCGGAGGAGAGGGCGAGAGGCGCTCGACCTCCCGGGTTAGAGGAAGTGCAAGTTGGGCCAATTTCGCCCTTCCAGACTCCGAGGCGGGACGGCCCAGGGGGCAGCGGCCTTGCCTGGCTGCCACTGCCCGCCTCCTCCCCCGCGCCCCCTTGCTAGGCTTTGAAGAGCGCATTTTACGAACTTTTCCATTTTCCTTTTGGAGGCGTGTTTGTTCTTCTCAGTCACCTCGCGCATTAAAGGCAGAGATTTTTTTTTAATGAGCTTCAGCGCTGATCTGCACGTTCTTCCCTCCGTGTAATTTCAATTTGAACTCTCCCTGGAGCGGCCTTTTCCCTCTTGTTGCCTGCCAAGTCGTTTGAAGGCTGCGCAAACATTCTTACTCCCTCCCGTTCGCGCGAGTCTCGGTCTACACCCGCGAGGGGAGGCGGAGGCGGAGGCGGTTACTCCGAGAGTTCCGGTGGATTGGAGCCTTTCAGCAGCCGCCTTCAGACTGTTTAGGAGGACGAAAAACGTTAGGGGAGGTGAAACACTAGAATAAATGCCCCTACGACCACCGTGCTTCTAAAGGGTTATGGTGGGCGTGTGTGTGTGTGTGTGTGTGTACACATTCCGTAACCCATATTAGAAGTCTTGGGAAAGGGGCTGGGGCGGTGGCTCAGGTCTGTAATCCCAGCACTTTGGGAGGCAGAGGTGGGAGGATCACTTGAGGTCAGGAGTTCGAGACCAGCCTGGACAACATTGTAAAATCCCCTGTGCACTAAAAATAAAAAAATTAGCAGGGTGTGGTGGCATGTGCCTGTAGTCTTGCAGTGAGCCGAGATGGCCCCTACACTCCTGCCTGGGTGATGGAACCAGACTAGGTCTCAAAAAAAAAAAAAGAAGCCTGGGGAAGGAAGACAGTGGAGACACACAAGGAATGATTAAACTGAAGTAAACTTCAGCACTCAGTAAGTGTCCAGCTCTGTTCTTTCCACAGATTGCCTCCTTCAATTTTCAGCCAGTTTTGTGGCTAGGTGTTAACACCCATTTTACAGATGGGAGAAATTGAGGCTGACTGTTGGGGTTAGTTTCTCAGCCACCTTACTAAAATCTAAATCCACTTTTGAGCAAGTGCTCTGAATAACAATAACTATCTTACAGCTTAATATACAATTATTAAATACCACTCCCCTTTCACTTTACCATTGGGGCTTATGTCTTTATTGGTTGTTCAAGTGGGGCAAAGGAAATAGCCTTTTAAAACTCAGAGGCCAGGTGCAGTGGCTCTTGCCTATAATCCCAGAGCTTCGGGAGGCAGAGGTAGGTGAATCGCTTGAGGCCAGGAGTTAGAGACCAGCCTGGGCAACATAGTGAGATCCTGTCTCTAATTTTTTTTTTTTTCTTTGAGACGGTGTCTTGCTCTGTCATTCAGGCTGGAGTGCAGTAGCACTATCTCAGCTTATTGTAACCTCCACCTCCCAGGTTCAAGCGATTCTCCTGCCTCAGCCTCCCCAGTAGCTGGGATCACAGGTATCTGCCACCATGACTGCTAATTTTTTGTACTTTTAGTAGAGATGGGGTTTCACTATGTTGGTCATGTTGTTCTTGAACTCCTGACCTCCAGTGATCTGCCCACCTCGACCTCCCAAAGTGCTGGGATTACAGGCATGAGCCACTGCACCCAGCCCTCTATAAAAATTTTTAAAAATTAGCCAAGCGTGGTGGTTTGTACCTGTAGTCCCAGCTACTCAGGAGGCTGGAACAGGAGGATCACTTGAACTCAGGAGGTCAAAGCTTCAGTGAGCTGTGATGGTGCCGCAGTACTCCAGCGTGGGCAACAGAGAGAGACCTTGTCTTAAAACAAAACAGAGAAGCTGGGTGCTTGTCATTGCATCCTGTCAGAGAAAACATATTGACAAGAAACATGAAAACAAAAATTAAGTACCTATAACAACTGCCCTTTTAAATATATATTTATAGTGTAATTTTTATTAAAAAAAAAATAGAGATGAGGTCTCGCTGTATTGGCCAGGCTAGTGTTGAACTCCTGGCCTCAAGTGATCCTCCTACCTGGGCCTCCCAAAGTGCTGGGATTACAGGCATGAGTCACTGTGCCCAGCCACAACGGTCCTTTATTAAGCATGTAATTATGTGCCAGGCACTGCTGTAAACTGTCTACTTACATATTTCTCACAATGTCTTTATGCATTAGGTACTTTCCACATGACAGACAGGAAAACTGAGGCACAGAGAAGCTGAGTAACCTGCCCAAGATCACACAGCTCGAAAGAGCTGACTGCAGGACCTAAACTCAGATAGAGGCACCCGTAACCACCTATATGCATCCCTCCGCCCTTCCCAGCTGTCTCCTGAGTCACATGAAAGAAACCCCGGACTTACTGGTCCTGGGCTGCAGTTTTCCTCCCCAAGGCCACTCTAGGGACAAACAGGAAGATGGGAGGGGGCGTGGGGCAGTTACATAAGGCGGTCACTTCAAAGTGGCCTCTCCGGGGTGGATAGCCTTGGCTTTGGGCAGTTAGCCAGGGGCACCAGCCGGCAAGCTGAGTGCTGTCCACCCTCTATCTCCTACCCCATCTCCTCTTAGTCCAAGGGCAGAACGGGCAGTGGAGGAGATGAAGGCTGGACTAGGGGGAGCGAGGAGGCAGATCTTGTAATCAAAGCTGGGCAGTGGCAGAAATCAGGTGATGCAAATAAGAATAAAAATAATAACACCAGGCTCAGTGGCTCACGCCTGTAATCCCAACACTTTGGGAGGCCGAGGTGGGCAGATTGCTTGAGGCCAGGAGTTGGAGACCAGCCTGGCCAACATGGCGAAACCCCGTCTCCACTAAAAATACAAAAATTAGCTGGGCATGGTGGCACATGCCTGAAATTCCAGGTACTTGAGAGGTTGAGGCACAAGAATTGCTTGAACCCAGGAGGTAGAAGTTGCAATGAGCCAAGATTGTACCACTGCACTCCAGCCTGGGCAGCAGAGTGAGACTCTCTTTTAAAAACAGCAGCATTTATTGAGCACTTACTATACACTAAGCATGATGCTAAGCTCTTATGTTAACAGCTCTATAGGTAAGGACTTTCAATCATTTCCTTTAAGGGGCTCAGAAAGGTTAAGCCATTAGTTCAGCTGCACAGCTGGGCTGCCTGCCCTCGTAGGAAGGAGGCCCACAGCAGGCACTGACTTCATGTGAATTTGACACATTCTGGTGGAAGTGGGTTCTCACTTTCTGTGATGCAAGCTGCAAAACAGAATGAGAGGATCTCAGAATGGTAAGTCCAGCTACCCTCTGGATGGGGAAACTGAGACCTGGTGAGGTGTGGAGTATGACCTAAGGTCTTACATTAAGTCAAGAGGGAATCCAGTGTAATCCCAGCACTTTGGGAGACCAAGGCAGGCAGATCTCTTGAGGTCAGGAGTTCGAGACCAGCCTGGTCAACATGGTGAAACCTCATCTATACTAAAATTAGCTGGGTATGCTGGTGCACGCCTGTAGTCCCAGCTACTCAGGAGGCTGAGGCAGGAGAATCGCTTGACCCTGGGAGGCAGAGGTTGCGGTGAGCTGAGATCGCGGCATTGCACTCCAGCCTGGGAAATAGGGCGAGACTCCATCTCAAAAAAAAAAAAAAAAAAAAAAAAGAGGGTATCCAAATGGTCTGAGAATAACTGCGCATGCCCCCACCCCAGGCCAGAGTACTTCCCTCAGCTCTGAGTGAAGAAGAAAGGGTATGGCCTAAGAGAGCCTGAGACAGAACTGTGTTTCCCTTCTGTCTTCAACTTCCGATGACTTTATGCAAGTCATTCAATCTCCCTGGGCCTCAGTTTCTGCAAAATCACGGTGGTACAGGGAACATGCAAATCATGCAAAATCATGGCGGTACAGATGATTTAATTGCTCAGGCACTTGGTGGTGATAATGTTCTGAGAAGCTCATGAGGCCACAGCCAGGAAGCAGAGCCAAGCACAACCAGTCCCCAAATCCTGACGTTCTATGAAATCAAGGCTCCCAGGCCTCTGGAGGGTGGTGGCAGTTGGAGATTCATTGTGTCTTTGAAGAAGCACTCTTTCCTTCTCAGGCACCCAAAGGGCCTCTTGATCCCAGCCCAGGGATAGGCTACATGTGCTTCCACAAGAGAAGTAGATTGTCTCCCCATCACCGGGATTTGTGTGGGGCCTCCTTTTTCTTGGGGCTGTGGAACTCCCGGTGGGTGTTGGCTCAGGGTCTCCAAGCCCAAAAGCTTTGCATGCCAATGCCTGCATATATACGCAGCCACAGCAGCTTATGTGCATACAAACTGATTTGAGGCCCACATAGACATAGTCCACGGCAGACCCTCACCCAGCCCACCTTCCTCCGCCTCATTATTATTACTGCTATTATTTAAGGAGTGTTCTTTGTCTAGCCCCTAATGTGAGCCAGCTGTATTATAATTAACAGTATAACATCAGAGATTCAGAGAGGTGAAGACACTTGCCTAAGACGCACAGCTAGTAAGTGACCCCAAGACAGGGAAAGACTTTTACAGATGATTTTAGCTGGGCAGAGGGGAAAGGAAGGGGACGTGCAGAGGCAATGTGACAGAGAGAAGAAAACTCCTGGGTGGGTGGGGTGGCTCATGCCTGTAATCCCAGCACTTTGGGAGGCCTAGGTGGGTGGATCATTGGAGGTCAGGAGTTCAAGACCAGCCTGGCCAACATGGTGAAACCCCATCTCTACTAAAAATACACACACACACACACACACACACACACACACACACACACAAATTAGCCAGGTGTGGTGGCACATGCCTGTAATCCCAGCTACTTGGGAGGCTGAGGCAGGAGAATCTCTTGAACCCAGAGGCAGAGGTTGCAATGAGCCAAGATTGCCCCATTGCACTTCACCTTGGGCGACAGAGCAAGACTCGTCTCAAAAAAACGAACCAAAACAAACAAACTGCCCCCCCGCCCAAACTCCCATCTCCCTTTCCTCCCTGCCCTAAATTGGGCATTAAGCTAGACTGTCCTTGACGTGACCACAGACACCCGAAGCCAGAGTCCCAGGAAGTCCATTGTTTCTGCAATTATTGGTATCATTTAGGCTGTGAACAGTATCTTCAGAAGTGTGCTGATGGATGCTTTGGGGTGGATTTACCCTGAGATTCCTGTTCCTTGAGACTCTGTGGGGGAGCTGACCTTTTCACTATGGAAATCTTAGGCTTTCTGCATCTGCTCCAGGAAATGGGAGGGGTAAAGGATGCCACCAAGCACGGGGAGGCATGGGGGGCTCTGCGGTGTCCCTCCAGTTAGAGGCAGGTTGGCCTTGGGCATTATGTTTCAGACTCAGAGAGGGACGCTGACTTGGTCAAGGCCACCCAGAGTCAGGGAAGGCATTTGGCCTCCAACCTCAACGCGAACTTGCCCTTGCCAGGTGCTGCAGGCTGCCCAGGGGTGCTTGGAGCTGCAGCGGGGAGGAATTGTGGGGCAGAGGGAATGGTGATGGGGTGTCTCCTTAATGGCCCCAGGGGTCACATGGCGGGTGGCCAAGCTCTGACCCTTGTCTCCCACCTCTGTATGCCTGAGTGCTGTCCTGGTTAGGGCAGGCATGCATTTTGTTCACGTTACGGGCTGGAGAGGTGGCCACTTGGAAAGGAGCAAAGGAGAGCAGGGTCTGGAGGGTGATGCAGGGGTGGAGGAGTGCTTGTGGGGGTAGGCTGTGAACAAAGGGGCCCGCATTGGATCAGGCAGGGCCGCTGAGTGATGATTCACAGGCCAGCAGGGAGGGGCGGGCTGCTGGACCCACACAGATGGGGCGGGGAGGAGAGCAAGGAGACTCAGAGTCAGACTCATGCAGAAAAGAGAGCGGGATCCAGAGAAACACAGAAAAGAGAGATGGAGGCAGGTTCGGAGGCAGAAAGATAGAGTCAGGGTACTCAGGCATGCGTGCATGTACGTGCGCACACACACATGTACAGAGAGCAGAGAGAGAGTGAAACGAGAACTAGTCATTGTGATTTGTGGCCAGTGGTGGACAGAAAACCAAATCAATGTAAATTGATTTCATTTTGTTTTGTTTTAGAGACAGGGTCTTGCTCTGTCACCCAGGCTGTAGTGCAGTGGTGTGATCATGGTTCACTGCAGTCTCCAACTCCTGAGCTCAAACAAGCCTCCCGCCTCAGCCTCTTGACTAGTGAGGGCCACTACTTTCTTCATTTTTATAAATAAAATAATTTATTTTTATTGTTTGTAGAGATAGAGTCTTGCTATGTTGTCCAGTCTGACCTTGAATGCCTTGAACTCCTTGAACTTCCATTGAGTCCTCCCAATGTGCTGAGTTTACAGATCCGAGGTGGCTTGAGCCACTGCACCCAGCCTAAATGGTTTTCAATAACCCTACTTCCACCCCAGCATACCCCATCTCCAGTTTAAAATTTTCATCTTGTCAGGCCTGGAGTGGCCATCTGAGCATGGACTTCCCAAGGCTGTCTGTGGCCAGGCAGGGCCTCAAGCAGACACTCATTGGGCACACAGAGAGTCCATGTTCAGCGGTAGGGACATGAGTGTATGCACACACGTGTATCACAGGGTCACAGGACCTCCCCAAGATACAAGCGTCCTCATCAAATATGTGCGCACACACTCATGAAGGTCCAACACATACACACAAGCTTTAATTGCTGCAGCATGCTCCTGTGAGCACACACACATTCCACTTTTGTTGAGCGCCTAGCGTATTCCAAGTTCTAGGCTGAGCATTAAAGGCAGAGAAAAACACAGAAAAGGGAA